TTCTGTCATTCAAGTTGTAATTTGCGAAACCAAGAAACTTTCAATCAATCATGTTTCAACTCGCAATGACAATGCTTGAATTTAAATTATATGTATATGCATATGTAGAGGAAATAAAAATGGTCCTGACGGGAGGTTTTCTCTATATAGTAGCGGCAGTTGGAAGAAAGGTACACTGTAGCAACTTGCAATAAGGTTGGGGCAAAGGGTATGGCTAGAAGGAAAAATATCCGCAATCGTGATGAACACAACCAGAAAACAAAATAGATGAATCAAAATGGATTAAAACATGCGCTTGCCAGGAAAAGATAGACAAAAATGAAACGCGCACATTTTTTATTATTAGCCGCAAAACAGAAGGAAAATAAAGAATGGAAACACAATAAGTTTGAGCATAATAAAATGTGACGGGGAAAAGGGAGGCCCGGGCGCGACGATGCTCGTAGACGATCCCCATCTCGAAAACAGAATACAGCAGTAGTTTGGTAGGCAGGAGGAAAGAAATAATAAAGAAAATCGAATCCGTTTGGTTATCATCATATATCGAATAACAGTGATCAGGAAGAGGTGATGGTTATAGACAGTCTGTTGGCTCGATAGCATCCTACGTCAGGATATCTTTGGATTCGTCAGTTATTATCCATTGAATAGATGGAGCCAGACAAGGGAAGGGCGATTTTCATTATTCAAAAGAACACGGTGGGGATTTGTTAATTTTATTCGATTGATAGACCTCTAAATGTTGCGTTCTGTTCCTGGTATATACATGCGTCCACGTCGAACAGAAACCTAGTCGTTACTGTTATGAAGCCAATTCCAAAGCCACCCAGCAGGGTTAGTATGAGTTTCCCCACCATCCCTTGGCCGTGGTGGGAGGTTCTCAGTTCCGTTGAACGTTGGGTTGGCACCTTCACGATTAATCGACGAACGGGGTGATTGTGATGGATTGGCATTCCCTGAATTTGATCGGCGAGGAGGACTGTCTGAAATAATGAAAGGATCCGCCATACTCCCTCTACCACGAGAACTGGACGCAGATTGAGGTGGGGACCTTGAGCCGGCCCCTGAGCCGGCCCCTGAGCCGGTCGTTGAGTTTTGTTGGTGTCCCCTGTTCGGCGTTTGCGGTGTTGGATGCCCGATCCTGGCTCTGCAATGAGGGCAAGTATTGTGATCGTCCAGCCATGGAGATATGCAGGTCGAGTGGAACCAGTGCTTGCATGGCAACACAGTGACTCGGGAATCTAGTCCTACAGTTTCCATGCAGATGCCGCAGGTTTCCGTGCCGTCGAAACGATCAAGCGCTCCCTCGGTTTCTTGTAAAGTTTCCTTCAACGTCTGGGTTTTCAGGAGCGCGAGCTCTTCTCTAGTTACGGGTCGATCTGCATTCTCATCCAGACTTCCACCATCCTCGGCAATGCCTTGAAGGAGTGACAGCATTAACGATCGTATATCAGCATCCTCGTTCGCCCCACCGTTCATCTGGTTTCCACGTTGATGTCCAGCAAATTGTCCGAGAACCCTAATGAACGATCAATAGAACTTGGTTAGTTCACAAAGCCAAGAAGGGTATCTTTAAGGCGAAGATATGAAGTAAACTAACTCTTGTAGATGAGCAAATGGATCTGTATCCTCCCGTGCGTTGTATGCGTTTCGCGGTGCCAAGCGCCAACTAACCCTCAATGTGTTTCCATCTCCATCTATATTTAAACCTAGATCGTCGCCATGGGGTTCATGGACGCCAGGTAGATAAACTAGTGGTTGTAGGCCAGGGGACCGATGCCTTCGCATCGGCCGAACAGCAGGGTTCTCTGTAATGGCGTCGATAAGAGCCGTGGTGTTGCGAAGGAACGCGAAAGGGTCATGGACGGGGGTATCATGCAGTGGCTGTCCGTGGGGGGAACCTCCTCTGGACGATCGGAATGATGTACTAGCGAACGTAAACCTTCCATCGCCCGACCGAAAACTGCGAAACGTTGCCCTACCTCCCGGGGCGTCAAGGTGTTCGGTTTGGATACTTGGTCTAGGACCGCGTATGTGATGGAAGGATGATGCTGAACTGGGACTCTGGCGGATGGGGGAAGGGCTGTGTGTTGGGGGGTTCTGGAGCTCTGGAGGTGGGTTATCTCTTTCCACCTTGGTTGGGAAGGGAGTGTCAGTTACTAATTTCATATCATATCGACTGATAGGCGAGCTGTAAAGCAGTAGAGGAGCTGCATCAGAAGCGCACTTACGATTTCGACAAATTCGGACTCGCAGATGGGACACCGTAATGCGCTCTCTTCTTCTCTTGCCCATACACTTTGGCACTGGTGACAATACACCCTCTCTGGTGTCATTTCGTCAGCCATGGCTGGTTGGTAGGAACTGAAGTTATCTGTCGTGAAATGCCTCCTATTACTTATTAACTCCCTTTGTCGAAATGTATTTGATAGGAGGATGAAGACGGGGCACAAAATGGATCGACAATGAGATGCCGGGCTAGAAGTGAGGGGCGACTGGCTTAAGTGCGCGCCTATTTGCTCGCTGTACGCAGCAGACGATGAGGGGGAGGAGGGGAAGGCCGACTGAAGATACTTTATTTGCGTTACCAGGCACCGGGTGTAGCGCAGGAAGGCAAGTAAGTATAGGTAAAGGCCGTTCGTTGCCTACAACGAAGATAACAAAGGGTTCGCGTGCGGGTAGATGGATCGACAAAGTTTGTTTGTTGTGCTTGTTGGCGGCTTGGAAGATGCTCACGTATGGAACAGCACAAACGACACAGTAGTAGAACCTAGGTGAATCACACACGGAGTAGACAAAGTCGAAATGGGAGGATCCGGTGATCTGGCTATCGTTGGCTGAAGTGCAACTCGAGCACGGTCTGGGGTGGATGAAGCCGCGAGTTGTTCGCTCTGCGGCGGGAAACTTGGCAAGTTAGCGATGACGTTGGTACAGTTTGGCGCTTATTACAGATCATCCATCCCTTGTGGCGGGGAATCTCCAGCGCACCAACTATTATTAGAATTAATTCCCAGCATCGGGTACCTGCTTCCTTCAAAATTAACCTGAGCAGTATCAAATTCTGTGTCTCCAATCTCCCCGAGTCTCCCAAAGGCTGCCTTGTGGAGGAGATGCGGAATGGGCGATTACTATGTATATCTAGTGGATATGCGCCACCCACATTTCAAAAGCTGTTTCAAGGGTACAGTGGGAAAATGAACCCCTGTTTCATCACAAGACGACGTTCTTCAGGCGACCCTGGCTGATTGCTTTAACGACCTCTTGTGGTGTGATGGATTCTCAATTCTGCACGGTTCTACTAGATTCCTATATTGTTATACCATTACGCCTGTGAAACCGGCTACTTTCAATGGTTGAACCTGACCGACTTTATTGGCCGCGAATTCACGATTCTTGTTTCTTGCTTGCTCGTCTTCTCGATCCTTTAAGAATACCCTACATGGTTCAGCGCTATTTTGGAGCATGTTTGCGGATGTGACGGGAATCTCAGACGGCGGAGATAGGAAAGATCTTGTCATTCACATAGGCGGAAGCTCATGGAGAGCATGACAAACGTTAAGCCATTATTATTATGTATGCATATTGGTCAATATATATATCCGATCTTAAATCAAGCGGATGGTGTTTAAAAGCACACTGTAAATTTAAAAAAAAAAAAAAAAAAAAAAAAAAAAAAAAAAAAAAAATGAAAGAGAAGCAAAATACGTTTTAAGTGGAGTGAAAACCAGATGGGAGTAACAGCAGGTCAACAGGAGACAATAAGGGCAACCCGAAGCACCATACCCCCTTTTCTAAGGACCTCCCGAAAAGCTGCCTCATCCTGTTTGGGATACCATATCAGCACGTAGCCTTTTCCCCACCCGCCCAACCAAAATACGACAAAGACGTAACCTGATGAAAGGTGCTATAAAGAACCCCACGCGACATCTTTCTTCATCATCTTGACTTCGTAAACCCCCATCTACTGTCCTCACCGCCTCCTGGCACCCTTCATAATAAGCCCTCCAACCACCCCAGCCGCAAGTGCCACGCCTCCCAAGATCGCAACACCAACCAACCCTTCCTTCGCAACCTTCTCGTCAATCAGCGTCCGCAAACTGGCCGCCTGTAGATTCCCCGGTTCATGGTCGAGAAGCAGGTCGTTGTATCTGCGCGCCTCACCATAGTTGCCTAGCTTGTAGTTGCCGAGGGCGAGATAGTAGAGGCATTCGCGTCGTCGTTCGCGGGCCGATTTGAATATTTCGGAGAGTAGTCGGACGCCCTCTTGTTGTTCTTGGCGCGTGTTGGATTTTATGAGGCCCTGCAAGGGAAGTTTTAGGGAGGGAGGTAAAAATGTTTAGTTGGTTGTATTCTTCTCGATGGGTGGGTGCAATAGAATTGGATGGCGGATCCGCGGGAGGGAATAATAATTGATGAATAGAATAAGGTGGAGGGATGTTTTATATACCCAAGCATAATTGAATTTGGTCTGCACGCCGACATATTCCCCTTCCTTTTCGTATTGGGCTCGCAGAACTTGGAGTTCAGCGGGTTTCAGCGGGCTGCGGGATGGTATAGAGATATCAGTTATTTCCCTTCTTCAACAACAGACGATGGAAATATTCCACAACTGGAAGGACTTCTTTCATAAGAACCGATGTCGATTATGGAGGGGAGGGCCTAGATTATAGCACTGACCTCTCAGCATCCGCCGCATCTTTTTTGAGATAAATCGTTTAGCAAACAACAACTTGAGACGAGGAGCAGAGCAAGACATACATGGAAGATTCGAACCCATAGGGTTGATATGATACGGACTCGTCCTTCGCTGTATGTAACAAAGATATGTCGACAACGGGTCGAGGTATCCAAGGAGCTGTGGCCTGGTTATGCTTGTGTTTGGCAAAGATGGCGTTGCGGAGTTTTGGCGGCAAAGTCATGTGACAGTTACTCCCGCAACAGCCAACCGTCAACAAACACCCTGCCCTTCTCCATCCGCATTTACGTCTGTTTCTCAAAAGACAGCAATTGATTGAATCACAAACACGGTCCACACCGCAAATATGCTCCTCGAAGAAGATCCCGCAACAGTATGTTCCTCCTAAACCAGTCCATTAACATTAAATTACTTGCTGAATAAAACCACCCCTCCCACAGCTTATCCACCACACAATCGGCAACTTCAACATACAACCCGACAAACTCGCCCTTACTCGCATCACTGACTCGCTCTCCTCCCTCCAACAATCCCGCGACCTGCGCACCCGCGAAGCAGAACTCTCCCTCCGCAAGCTAACCCGCAATCTCAACACACTCAGCGCGCAACACGCGGACAATGTTTCCTCGCACGACCCGGCACGCCACGCTGCATCTATAGTCGAGCTTGATACGAAGAAGTTTCGCATTGCGAAGGCCGCATCTGAGCTGGAGATCGATAGTGAGCGGCTGGAGGGCGAGCTGGAGATGTTAAAGGCACGGTTGGCGGAGTTGGACGCGCAGGGGCTGGAGGGGGATGAGTTAGCGAGGAGGGAGAGGGAGTTGGATGATTCAACGATGTATGTCTATTTCTTTTCTCCTTGGCCTTACGTATCATACTTCCGGTGTCACAAGAGGATATAAAACTAATCAATGGCATGCGCCCGATCTACTAGCCTACGCCTCAAAATCTACCGCTCCCTCGGTATCGATGTCGAGCCTGATGAAGCGGGCAATTACACAAAAGCCATTATCCGAAATAGCCAGAAGGGCGATGTCCACGTTGTTAATATCGATCCAAAATTCTCCCGGTTTTTTTACGCAAATTATTTCTGGCAGACGATGCAGGGGTGATTGACTATTTTTCGCCATTTTTTCAGACGTATCATTTTATTTGTTTGTTTATTCCCTGGGAGTCTGGAATCATTCATATGTTTTGCGGTTGGGAGTTTGGCTTCGGTGTTCTTGATGATAAGTTCGAGGAAATGGGTGTTTGGTTATGGGAGGGTATTGAAAAAAGAATTTGCTTTTCTCCGGTTCAATTACTGGCGCACAGATGGTCCTTTGGCGAGTTCAGGAATGAAAGCTTTTTTTGTGACTCGGGATTTGCTGATCCCGACACTTATTTATAATCTTTTTACCAAAGTTCAAATGTGTCGGTAGAACTGAAAAAATAGGTTAACAAAGAAAGGTTTATGGTTCCGTGGCACGTTGCTTGTGCTGTATCCATGGATGTACTGTACTTGCCTCAGCCCAAACGCGAAGTCCATGTGAATATAAGGCGCTTGCTCGCTCCAACTAACATAAGATAGAAGTCTATAAGTTTTAATGGTCAATATTTGTTGAAAATGACAAGTTAGTTAGTTTCTGTGTGGTTACGGGAACGAACCTGCGTTCCAGTTTCGCACGAACCGATAGTTAAAACAAAAGCAGGGATGGAGGGAGGCACTGTAAAGTTTATAGAAGTTGCTTCAACTACAAAATCATGATATATCCCACTGGACTGGAATTTTTGCATTGGCAAGCTAAATAAGGGTTGATCTAATATCCGTAGTTATAGGATGTCAGATGTAGGGAGGGCCGTTCGGAATTATCTGAACGAGGGTTGAGAAAAGAGAAGGGGGGTGTAAAAAAAAATGGGACGGGGGAGAAAAATGAAAAAGGACGAAATGCGTCACTCAGAAACTATTCCTCCTCGTTGAACTCGTTGCCTCACTCCTAAACATCCTCAGACCGGGAGGCATATTGTCCCTTTTCAAAACTTCATCTGGGGGAGTCACAATTCGTTCGTCTGCCATCCTCTCTGCCGCCAGTGTAAGACTCTCTCTCCATCGTTCAACTGCCAGTGCCCGCTTTTCATCTCTGGGGGACAATCGTTTTCTCCGAATACCTCCCCAGCGTAGTTTCATATATCGGTTAAGCATCTGGGCAAAAACAACCAGCGCAACACTAACCCAAGGCATCCACTGGCCGACCTCCTTTGGCTGTTCGTTGCTGGGGAGGTGGACCATCCGATACTCGCACATGACGACGTTGACGACGAAGGCAGCGAAATGGGCAAGCATAACGCATAAATGGAGGTTTTTAAACAATGCGGCCCAGCAAGATCGTCGCCTTTTTGGCAGTGGCGGTCCGGGCAGCCAGGATTGCGATGGAGATGGCAGAGGTGAAAAAGGATTTATCGACACAGACACGTCCGGGGCTTTGTTGATGGTATTCTGCCGACTATGAATACGGGTGCCTATCCTACTTCGACCGAGTACGGAAGCGGCTGTTGTAAATTGGATATTCGTACTTTTATTCCGCCACACTGTGCGGAATAGCGTCTCAACGACGACCCAGCTAAATATATAGATGATCGTTGCTGGAAGGAAAATAGAGGTGATATCCCTGGGACGGTTGATATAGTTAGGCCAGGCCACCACGTCATTCTTTGGGCGGAAAAGTCGAGTTTCGGGACCACATGCGTAAAGACAGTCCGCACTGGGGCTGGGGAATAGTGAGCCATGGAATGAAGCTGCATCGGCGCGTGGAATGCACTTTGGGGTGATGAAGCCCGCCCCGTTTACATGTATGCACGACGCAGTGAATATCGCACCAACCACCAAAAGAAGTCCCCACAGAATCACGATCCATCGCTTCCTTCTCTCTGCATATATCAAAGTCGATGACCAATTCAGCAAAGGAGCAGCCAGCATGGCGCCGGACGAAGTTATAGCGAAAATTCCGTAGATATCAAGATCTATTGCATTCTGCGCGGGGCTGGCCAGGAGGAAGCCGTGAATCGCTGCGGCCGCGCTATAGGACATCGCACTGGCGAGTGCACCGAGGACCAGCCATTTTTGACGGCGACAAAGGACGGCAAACACAAGCAGAAGGTAGAAGAGTATGCGTTGGAGGAGGTTATATGGTCCGCTCATTGGGAAAACGCAGAGGACTTCGGGGCCATATCCACCATATACGTTGAGATCTTTGCTTGCGGCGAAAACACGCGCGCTACAGAAAAGCACCAGGAGGAATAGGATGCTGACCGCATTGCCCACCAACATGCTGGGCATTTCACATCTGTTGAAAATGAAGAGAGCAAAAGGAGGACAATTGATAAATTCTAGCTCGTAGCCATAAAAGGTTGACGAGGATGTCTAGAAGAACATCTTCCTGAGACGGAACTGTGCAGGTTTTGGGCTTCTAATTGACATGGAAAGCTGTCCCTGCAACGTTGATTTGAGCAAGCCATAAGCTTTGAGGACAATTCCATTCATTTTATGCTCAGCGAGGGAAGATGGGTCGTGGGTGACAGAGATATCATTGTGGCAAAGAGAGTACTCCAAGCTTCACAAGTAACTATCAAACAAAAAGAAATATATCTGCTGCGGAAAGCCGCCAGATTGGTCCACGACAATGGATGGCTGTGGCTGAGTATTCTTTGTCGTATTTGATGCGTACGGGTAGCCAACAACAGAAAAGATGCTCGCTCTCTCAATAAACCTATGAAGTTTTAGAAAAGAAGTAAAGATAGCCGCACGGAGGGCATTGTTCGCTGTAGAGAGATTGATAATTACACTGGCACAGTATCAGATAATATCTTCATGTTTAACTAACTAACTAATAGAAAGATCGTTTTATTGATCCTAAGTAGAACCTAGTTAAGAATCGAACAACAGATTCAACTACTATTTACAGCTGTAGATTCAGTATCTGGCTTGTTACTTACAAAAATGAAAGAAAGTAGTAACTATGTAAGTATAATAAAACCTCACTTGTCGGGAAGTGGCAATTTTGATGGTGAATTCAACGGATAATTCGATCCTCCGAACTCGGATGATTGACCAGCATGGCGATCCCTCTAACCAAGTTCGAAGTAGATCTTAAACTCAAGGCTTTACAACTTCCACTGTGAGAACTGGACTTGTATGAGTGCTGATTTTGAGATCCCTATCTATGTTTCTCGTGTGTGCAAGGACATTTTTTCCACATGCGGGTACTTACTTGCCTTGGCTATCCACGGCAGCCTTGAGTGGCAAATGTGTCAAATAGGGTTGATGTTATTTATTATACTCGTGTTACTTGTGTACATACGCTTGTTGATTATATATCTACACTGTGCAAAACTGTAAGAAAATGAGCTTTACAAGCAGTTATTTTATATCATTAAGATTCACTAACTCTATTGATTGTATAGGTGATAAAAATAGAGATAGAAATAGAGATAAGATAACTGATAACTGTGAGAAGCGAGCTTTTTTACAATCTCTAATTAAGATAAAGAATCATACAAAACTTGATTGAATTTCAATGATTTTATTTAGCGGCTGCCGTAACTACTATTTATCTTTAACTAACGAGAACGCAATGGGGATCACCCACTCGATTGACCATAAAGCAATATGAACAAGCCCGGAGAAGACAGAAAGCATGCGATTCACACCACAATCGCTCACAAAAATCAAGAGATGATATCTATATTCCATAAAATAACAGCAGAAGAAACGTTGGAGAAGAGCCGCGTCAACAGAGCCTCTCGCTTCCAAGGGTAGTAGTGAATGGATAGCTGGCGAGGCAGCGAAGCTGAGGGTTTGGGGGAACCGGAAATAAAAAGGGCCAGCTGGTGCAGATAACGTGAAGTATTTAGAGGGGTCATGACTGGCGGTGGCAGTTGTTGTTTGTGTATTTATTCGTGCCTGGATGCGGAAGACATGGCGGAACCTTGGAATCGCCCAGGCTCGACCCTCCATGTCTAAGCTACCAACATTAACTTATAACTTTCAGAATGAGGAAATTATAGCTAGCTCATTTGAAGATAAATGTCAAGCTTTTATGAGAATATTGTTTCCATCATCAAATAATTCAACTGAGGTTTGTTCTTTGCAAGAAGATAATGAATATGAACATGATAAAAAATGGGAATGGCCTGACTTAACTGAAGATGAATTAAAAACAGCTATTTTTTCATCTTCAAAGGTCACAGCAGTAGGAGCTGATACTATAAATCATTTAATAATTCAAGAGCTTTATTCAGTACTAAAAGATGAGCTCTTTGAATTGTTCTCAAATCTTTTGAAATATGGGTATCATTATAAGTGCTGGAGGCATGCTGTTGAAGTTATTCTGTCAAAACCCAATAGAAAACCAACTATTTCTAAATCTTATAGAGTGATATCTCTGCTGAATTGTCTGGGAAAAATTCTGGAAAAGATAATTGCAACTAGATTGTCTTTTCTATCTACTACTACTGATTTATTATATGATGATCAGATGGGAAGTAGAAAGCAAAACTCAGCAAATTGATGCAGTTCTCTCTGTAGTTCATGATATTCAACTTGCAAAGAATGAAAAAATGGTTACTTTAAATAACGTACCCAATGGCCTGGAGAACCCGCGCATTCCGGGGGGCTATACACAAGATGAGCAAAATGGCACTTCTCCTCATGATATCGTCTTTGGGAATCAAATCCAAAATATTTTGACGTTAGCTAGAGCGGGCATAAACTTTGTCAGATTCTTCTGGCAACGAAGAAATCTGGGAGGGTTGTTTGGCCAGCAGAGGAAGGACTGGAAGAATATCCGAGCAGAATTAATGAAAAGGACCATAAAAAAAGCCTTAGGACTCAAGGGCGACAATGATGAACTATGAATGTCTTCTAGGCTGCTGGCGCAAAAGAGCTCACCAGTTGCCAGCTAGTTAGTTGTCAACTCTGCGTCCGGAACTGTTCCTCCAAGAAATAAATAAATAAATACAAGATAGAAGTAACAAGTACTAACCTTCCACATCCATCAAATCGTCTCTTATTTAATAAAGCCGTTAAGCCTAATTCAGACTTCTGTCTCCATGAGCTAGGAAGTATTGCAGCAGAGGGGAGGGCGCAAAGAACAGAGCATAGAGACTAAATACCAGAAAGCCCGGAGAAGCACGGGAAATAACTCGTATTCTCCTCACATAACCAAGAAATGGCAGTGATTAAAATCGATATCTTTTCAGACGCGATATGTTCCTGGGTGAGCATGTGCCGTCTGTCCCCTTTCCACAAAAAAGCACCGGACCAAACTTTCCAGTTATTTACTCATATGCAAAGAAAATAGTGCTTCATCGGCTACCGCGACCTCCAAAAGGCCATTTCCCTCTACCAAAAGACATACCCAGGGGGTCTCCAAGGATGAATTCCACCCGTCATGGAAAGCCTTACTTCATAGACCCAAGAACCCTCCAGCGAGAGCATAATTACACACGGTAAGATATCCGCCAGCTCCTTTATCTTTCATTTATAAACAATGCACTCAAATTCCCCATTATTCACAACACGATATAATATCCAGACCGGATGCTTCGGAAAATGGGTCCCAAAATGACCGAGGCGGCGCAGACGCGCCTAAAGCGCGTTGGGGCGGCGTTGGGCCTCGATTTTAAGTTCGGAGGGTATATGGGTAGCTCAAGGCTTGCGCACGTACTTCTACATACCACCGGTGCGGAGAAGGGGCTTGTGATGCAAGGTATGGTTTCTGATATATTATTCCGGTATCAGTTGGAGCTGGAGGAGGATATCAGTTGTGTTGATACGCTTGTGAGGGCTGCGGTGGAGGTGGAGGTGGGGCTGGAGGCGGGGGAGGTTAGGGAGTGGTTGGCTGGGGAAGGGGCGGGGCGTGGAGTACGGGAGATTATTGAGGAGGAGGCGAAGAAGATTAGGGAGGGGGGCGTTCAGGGGGTGCCACATTTCATTATCGGTGGGAATTATCATATCGATGGGGCGGTGGATGTTACAGAGTTTTTTCAGAAGGTAGTGGAGTTTAAGGAAAGGGAAGGAGGAGGAGGAGGAGGTGGTGGTGATGGTGGGCTAGTGGTGACGACGGGCGCGAGTTGTAAGTTGTCTCCGGGCAGAGGGAAAATGGTATGTTAGAAGTTACCTATCGTGCGTTTGACGTTGGTTTCAATGTCATGTCACTTAATGCTGAGTGGCATCAATAAAGAATCATGGTAGAAGCCGGAAAGCCAATATATGGGAAGCAAAAATTTCTTTGCTATTACGAAAATGCATCAGATATCATCTGCATACGTTTCTTTATAATTGCGAAATGGCAACATCCGAATCTCACTTTCCAGTTCCGTCCAAACGTATCGCATTTAGATCGTCCGTCACATCCGTGATCCCCAATTCAGCATAGGCATCCCCTTTCCCGACCCTCTCCACCAGCTCCTTCAAAGCATTCCCGGCCCACCTAAAGTCCTCCAGCTCCAGATAAGTTTGCCCACTCAGCCGTGTCCATAACCAACCGCCATGTGGGAAAATCGGAGCAGCAGCGTCATATTCACACAAAAACTTCTCGAGTATCCATTTCGCAACGACCATTGCATCTCTGCCCTTGATAACAGGATACTGCGAATCCTTCTCAACATGTCTGCCACTACCATCATCAACCGCAAGAGGTAAACGAACATTGGCGAAGGCACATTGCCGGATCTTACTTGCTCCTATCACCTTAGGGTCCACGCCAGGCTCGCTCATCACGTCTGTGCCGAGTATTTCGGCCACGATATTGCCGCCCTCATGTGCTAATTGCTGGCAATATGACATGATCCTTTCCTCGCCACCACAGACTTCTTTACGAAATTTAAGAGCGGCTGGGATGCAGTTGTATGGCGAATCATCGTTTGTGGCAACAAATTCAAATTGGAACTCGAAGTCAGACTTGCCTTTTTGCTTTGGGATTGGAAGAGATACGTCCAGGTTCTTAGGGACAAAGCCGTGTGAGGTGGGAAGCGTTGTGCGAATCAAGTGTTGGTTGCGTATAGGGACATGGAATACTGCACAACCGCGGGGTACGTAGAGCCATCTGGTAAGCAGCGTTAGTCATGTTTGTATATGGTAATGGAGATATAGATTTTTCGACTAGGATTTTTCTTTCAAAAGAGATCGTCACTATTGTGGGCAAACTTGAGCTACCCGCCTCGGGAGATGGGGTGGCGGGGGTAGAAGCTGGGGATAAACGAGGACAGCACATACTTGTGGCAATTGCTCACGAAAAAATCCGCATCCAACTTTCCCAAATCAAGAGGAATATGGCCGACTCCATGTGCCCCATCCACGCAGCTCAAAATACCCTCTTTCCGGCACTCCGCCACAAGTTCCTCGAATGGGAATCGAACGCCAGGATTACTAACGATAGTATCAAAAAGAGCCACGCGAACATTCAAGCCTTCACTCCTCAGCTGTTTAACTACCTCGGCAAAGCGTTTCATGATCTCCTCGTGGGTGGTTGGGAACGAATATGGGACCTTGCGCGCTTGGACGGGTGTGGATTCCATCAACCATGCGATGGTCTTCTCACACGCAGCGTATACGGTATCAAAGTAGACGATAACGTCACCTGGTGCATATTGCAGGTTTCGAAGGACGATATTCACTCCCGTCGTAGCATTTTTGGTGAAAACGATCTCGTTCATGGGGGCGTTGAGCACCTTTGCCAGCTCCTTTCTGGCCACATCGACGTATTTCGCCTGCAGGTAACGGAAGAACAAGTCTGGTTTGGCCTCAAGCTCGTCTTGGAATTTCCGGGCCTCATCCCGGACAACCGCGGGGAAAGTTCCATATGATCCTGGTTGATAGCTTTGTCAGTCAATGTCTACAAAAAGGAGCCCCAGTGATCTCAAAGTTGTAATGGCGTGAAGTGGCATGAGAAGCTCCAGAGAACAACATGAATAACAGGAGACAGGAATAGGAGGGAATATTTGCCAGGCTGCTCTGGCTCACCGTGGTTCAAATTTTTATAATTTGGATCGAGTAGAAAATGTTTGAGCATCGGATGCCCAAAATCGGTCAATTTGTCAGAAGTCGTGATGGATCCCATGTCGAAGTATTCGCCTGCTCAGAGATATATTATACACCCTTATGGATAGCTATCCTTATCAGGATTTTCCTTGCACACTCAATTGGGGCCTGCTGACTGAGTGGAAATGTTGGTCTTTTGAGGAACATGATATCAGCGCTTATGCAGCTCGATGCCCATTTACCGGGGGAAGTGAGCAGAGTCTTACCGATTTCACCAGAAACGACCAGTATTATATGCCTTTCCTCGACTTGCTAGATATTATCATTTATCAAGATAGCTAGACTCAATTGATGTTGCTATAAACCCTCTTCAGCCCGTCTCGTCTCGTTTGAACCGGGAGTGGATTGGCGTTTAAATATCAAACCTTCGGCACGGCCGTGACACATTCAAACCCAGATATCCCCACGCGCCCTTCGAAGCACAAGCTCCGCCGAGAAGAAATTAGTGGATATCTTGTGATAGTCCTTGGAGGGATAGAGGACTAGATCTAACAAGTTATTTTGAGAACAAGCTCAGTGGCCAATGAAGGTCGATCAATCCTGTTACGTAGGGCAGCGGGTATAGACGGACATGTTTGGGTTGTCTTGGTCTGAGGTTTAAGCGGGGGTTTCTTGGGTATGCTCAGAGAGAGGATTGATTGATAGCAAAATCCGGTGAGTTGTGCAGATGCACAGTACAATATAGGATATTTCAATAATTATGAGATGAGAACAACTCATACATATCCTGCGTGACTGAGTGTAGCTGCTGGTGAGAATATCCTATTGTCAACTAGTAGATGATATCATCATCATTGGTTCCTCGGCTGTATAGGTGGCCTAACCACACAACCAAGAATAAAATGAAGTTTGTTAGTTACATCAACCGCTTGCTCCATTAATTACCTCCTGTATCTACCAGGGGAGGTACATCTCAAGCACCATCATCCCCCACAAAGCTCGAAGCAATTGCTGAGGCCGCTTAGACAAGGCAGCAGGAGCCATAACAATTCGTAATAGGGCGGTGCGACTTACTGCAGGAAAAACGCCATGTCCATGCGGGCGAAGAAAATGGCAAGGGATGCTTTGGTGGAGAGATTTGAAAAAAAAAAAAAAAAAAAAAAAAGGAAAAGGAAAAGGGATAGAGTTACATAAGTGTGAGAAATGCTAGTAACAACCAGTTGCGAGATGTAAAATGATTTATTAGTTATCGCCAGACGACCAACGATGAGAATTGATGATAGCTCAAGAAGCTGAGAAGAAGGGAAAGAAAGATGCGTAAGGTCGTAAGGGTTATCAGGAGAACAGAGCACCCGTGAAAATATCTTTGCAAATAAAAAAAAAAAAAAAAAAAAAAAAAAAAAAATAGCACCCCAACGCTGCAGCAAAACCCAAGCAACTTCTTTCCAAATCGATCTTCATGTATGGTAAGATGCTTCTTCTCCTATGCTATGCTATGCATTCCTTCCCACACCACACCACACCCCACCACAAACTTCTCAGTCAAATAAAACACTATTGCTATACAACACGCCCAAATCAATCTACCGCTTCCCCTTCTTCTTCACGGCCACAACCTTGAACGGCGCATTGCTCGTGTCCTCGCGATGGGTAGCCGATTGGCCTCCCTTCTTGGCAACCTCGTTCCAGCCATCCGAGCCGTTGGAGTCCTGCACGGTGCCGAACCCATTGCTCCCAGCATTCAGGGACGAGGGATCAACCACGCCTTTGTCCGCGAGTTTGCGGCGACGGACGAATTCTTTCAGCGAAACGGCGGCCGTCAAGCGTTTGTGAGTTGGGCGTAGACAGGAGTCAGATTATTATTTCTGTCTCAGGGCGGCAGGGAGAAAGCGAGTTGTTGGACGAAATCATCCACTAGATATTTTTACCTATTTGTTAGTCTGCTAAATGATATCTAATTCCCGGGCGGAGAACATTCTAGTTTAAAAAGCGAGGGGTGGTATATATAGAGCTGAATAGACGTACCGTTTGATAGAGCTATTCAATCCCTTACCCCAAGGCGTTCTTAGCCCACTTCGTAAGCTCTTCAACGGGCCTATTCGTATTCGCCGACTGCGCAGAACTCAACGCAGACGGTCTTGTGAGGACTGTCGGCCTAGGTCTCGTCGCCGCAGCAGGGGCAACAGGGATGGCCCTAGGTCCAGCTGGTGCGGTGGGTGGAGGCTTTGCCTTTCCACCAGCACCAACTGTCGTCCACGCTCCTGCGGGGGCAGTTGGTGGTGCAACCTTACTTGCCAGATCGGCATAACGCTTGCCCGCAGAAGTGACAGGTGAGTTTACAGCAGCAGCTTGAGAATTGTTTACTACAGCTAAACGCTGCTTGCGTGCCTCCTCTTCCTTTTGAATCTGCGCCAAAGTTTTTTTAGGAGCGGAAGTGGGGGCACCGGATTGTGGTTTTCCGCCTGCAGCCTGCTTCGACCATACTGACCCCGTAGCAGATGGGGGTGTGACGGGAGACCCGCTGCTCGCCCAGTTTGCTGTGGATGGTAGTCCTGGAGCTGGAGGTGGAGGTTGATTTGCCCGTTCCTGTTCTGCAAGTGCACGCCTCGCAGCTGCAGCAGCTTCTTCGAGTTTGGCAGCCTTGCGAGCTTCGGCTTCTTGGATTTCCTTCAAAGAAGGACCTTTTGGTGCCTCAATGGTTTCCTTTGCCCACGGAGCGACCGATGTGGATGGATTCTCAATTGGGGTCTGGCTTTGCGACCTAGAGCTTGCTGCTAGAGTATCTGCAACATTTTGTCGATTACGTTGCGCAGCAGGAGCGGGGAGGGGAGACTGCGATGGAGGCGGTGGTGGGAATGGTTGCGGCATACCACTATCCGCTTTAGGCCACGGAGACTCAGCTTGCACAGTCGGAGTCTGTGTCTGCTGTTGCTGTTGCTGTTGCTGTTGCTGCTGTTGCTGCCGTTGAGCAGATGCGGCTTTTCGCACTTGTTGAGAAAGAGAAAGGGGTTCTGGCGCTCGTTGCTGGACGTGTTCCTGTTTGGGAGGTTGTTGCATTGCAGGTTTAGAAATATCAACATGGCGTTCAAATTCATCTCCAGTTGGCATTGCCGGGGGATGTGTCGGAAGACCCTCAGTCCTTCTAACAATATCATCATCTGTCTGACGTCTTAAAGCATGAAACTGCCGGAGACGTTCGTCGCGAGCTTGTTGGTCAAAAATCGAATCGCCCTTATTTTTGTCAAATTGTTCCTGTTCCTGCTGTAAGCGAGCTCTGTCTTGGAGCATGGTAGCAATTTGCTGGGGTTGCGCGACATTTTCTTGCTGCCTTGCTCGGAAAGAAGGGCCACTATTGAAAGGGAACTGAGATGGGCGATTGATATTCAAGCGGTCAACCAAACTCGGCAGCTCTTCTTGGCCAGCCATGATGTCCTGTGGAAGCATTTGAGGAGGAACACTGGGCACATTCGCTTGTCGCATGGTGGGTTCGAAATAACCAGGTATGGCTTGAGGTGGCTGAATGGGTCCCTGGATTGGTGAGGGGTGGTACCCTCCTGGTGAGGTGATGCTGCCAAAACTTGGTTGGCTCTGGAGGCTATGAGCGCTTGAGTGATGTTGCAGCTGGGGATGCATGGCAGCATGAGAAGGATTTTGCATAGCCATCTGTTTCATAAGGACTTGTTGCTGGGCCAGATGTTCTTTCTGCCTTGCCATCAAATACTGTTCCTCTTGCTTTCTCCTTTCCAGCGCATTTTGCTGGTCCGCGGTTAGTGTTGTGCCAAAGCTGGGAAAGCTGGTGGGGAACGGAGGCTGCGCGACACCAGATTGCGATGCCGATGAGCCCCAGGTGCCAGGCTGATTGGAAGGTGGCCCGTGAGCAACGCCAATCTGAGGTACAAGAAACGGTTCTCGAGAGTTGCCTATACGTCGAACAAGTTGAGCAAGTGGTTCGTACTCCGCATCCTCTAACTTCTTCACTTGGAGCTCCGCCGTAAAGAAACCTGCTTTAAACCAATCATGCATCTCGAGTCCAGACCACGGTCCCTGGGTGTTACCCTGGGGATCGCGGTAGATCCAGCGCATGCGATCTGGCATCACCATTTGTCGCTGTTGGGTTGCCGGCAGCTGGGTGTTTGACGAACTCGCACTAGAATGACTCTGACTGGGTTGGGAGGTGCCTTCCACGGAGGCTTGGGCGGCTGGAATTGAGGTTTGTACAGCGGCAGATGGCGCAGATGGATGAGAAGATGCAACCGAAATCGGCTGAGTTCCTGGGACAGGTTTATCACCGGATAGAAAAGCCTCCCTTCCAAGGTCAAGGCCGCCAAGAGGAGAAAATATACCTCCAGCGCGAGTAGCTTGTTCATTGTCTCTCCTCGAAATACCACTGTCAAATGGGCTGCTGCCAGAAACATTCCCGTTCTCACCCTGATGTTTCATTGAACCTTCAATTCCAGTGGAATCCGGGCGCGCTTGTTCATCACGTAATTGGTCTTGCATTGCTGGAGGAAATAGCGATCCCATTTTACTTGTGCGACCCGCACTGGAAAGGCTGGTATGCGACCCAAAAAAGCCCCCTCCTCCAAGAGTCGCTAGGCTTGGGGATTGTAAATCTGCCATTGATCCAAAAATAGGATCGCCAAACCCGGACGCAAAGCCAGATCGTTCTCGCGTGGGAGTGCCAGTAGTTGCGCTGGTAGGCCAGCCTCCAGCAGATCCGAGAGATGACAGGCCACCCAGACTAGTCAGGCTGGGGAAGCCCCGACCTGCACCAACGCTTGATGTTTGACTACGATCACCCGCTGGCTGGTCTACCGCAGACCCACCTCGACGAATAGAACCAAACCCGGCCATTCCAGGATCTTCAGGGATGTCACTCAGGCCGGGGAGGTGGGCATGTTGGATATCAGAACCGTCCGTATCGATGTCGTCAGTATCTGCCCTCTCGCCATGTGGGCTTTGGTAAGGGTTCGTATTAGTTGGGCTCATTGGCTCATGGACATGATTATTGGGAGCTTGGGGTGGTTGGCTTTGCTGATTGCCTACGATATCTCGGAAGCTTGGGCCATTCGATGTCATTCCGAAGGAAAGTCCGAACTGATCGATCCCCGAGGCAGAGGTTGTAGCGGTGGGAGCGTCTAGGTCTTGACCACCAAGGGCCGCGCTTCCACTCCGCGGCTCATCACCGAAGGGGTTGGTTTCACTGCGATTTGGGCGGGTCTTTATGGCTTCTCCCCACGGTTGTTGCTGTTGTTGTGGTGGCGGAGGATTAGAATCCTCAACTTCGGAGAGACTTTCCAGTGGAGCTAGGGACGGTTTTTCTTTCATGCTGGATCCAACATCATCTGAGCTATCTTTAGACAACAGACCCTTAAACCGACTTTCTCCCCGCAGGCTACTGAAACCAGGCTTCTTGTCGTTAGTTCCAGTATTACTGCTTATCGGTCCCAACGAAAAGCTGCCAAAAGCACCCATTGGCGAAAATGCCGAGCTGTGGGATGAGGATGGCCATGGGGAAACAGAGGAGCTTGGAATTGAGCCGACAGGCCCCGTGGCACTACGCTTCAGGGTCCCAAATGGAGAACTTAATTCAAGACCAGCATCACGACCATTATTTTCTTTATCCTTCTCATCCGATTTCGGTTCCGCTTCCCGGAAGTCAGTCTTTCGGCGGAGCAGAGAGGGTGGCGGGGATGACACATTCGTCTCATCGCGGAAAAACCGAGAAGTAGCCGTGGGCGACATGGGATTAGCTGATGAATCGCCGGTCCCACGGCGTCGCGGGGCGGTTCGTGCAGATCCAGGGGATGACGTGTTGAAGGATCCAAGATGGGACTGGGCATGGGAAACGGACCCTTTACGAGGAGGATTGCCGCTGGCACCGGCGGCATCCTTTGACCCACTTTGGGGAGGGGGTTTCAGCGGTGAGTTGATAGAGCCAGAGAATAACTAGTAACCAACTCTAGTCAGCATTTGTAACGGGTTTCCCTGTTCCCAGAGTAGAACATACGTCTTTTTCTTCATCGTTCATTTCAGTCAAAGCCAAAGGCTGAACCTGTCCGCTGTGATCCCAGCAAACCTCGGGACGAGTGGTGCTGCTTTCTTTAAGATCCTCGCGTTTATTCCAACTGCCATTGACAGACACGGGGATTTCATCACTGGGGTTCCAATCGGCCATAAAATAATCCGATATATGTTTCCTCCAGCTCCCCTGGTCCTGCTGACTCTTGTAGAGACTTAAAAGTTGGTCCTTTGAATACCTGCTATCATTGGCGTTGGTACGCGGGGAGCCCGACTGATAATTAGAACTAAGATGAGGGGGAATATAGGCCGCAACGGTCGGGGTAGAGGTGGAAGACGTGGTTTGGACGTTCTCTCGGGTGTGGGAATTGTTGGTTGCAAGGGACGGACGGCGGAAGGTTTGAGTTGCTCCGTTCATACGAGTGCGAGACCTAGAACAAAATTAAAAGCCATCAACTTAGCTCCATTGCCATCACACGACACGTACAAGACGGCGGATAATTTAATGATGCCAGCTACTGTCATAAATGAGAGGACAAAACAGAGGAACAGAGTAACAGGTAAAGATAAAACAAAAACGAAAAGAAAGGAGAAAAGGAAGAGGAAGAGGAAGAAGGGAATATTTTACCAATCACCACCGCCAATTCCTTCTTTTCTTGAACTAGACGAATCATGGGCGTTGCCAGCTGCCGCAGAGGCAAAACTCGATGGAAGAGGTGAAGGCATGATGCACTAGGTGACTATGAGATATGATTATCCACAGACGCCTACAGAAGACGTGCAGACAGCAATGGTGAATTTGGGATTTTGGGGATAAGTATCACTGCCACTGGCGCAGAAAAAAAAACGAGCTGTCAGACGGCGAGTACTAAGCGAAGAAGAGTTAAAATGAACGTTGAAACGGTAAGGGTAAAAGTTTGCTGGAAGTAATATGCGGCGTAGCTTCGTGCACAAGGCGCTGGAGATGAAGTCGAGCGGTTGGGACGCGGGCGGAAATCGAGACGGATTTGGGCGAAGAAGCAGAGTCGACGTTGGAGGTTCTTCGTTTCTGGCGATGAGAGGCGGTGGTGGAGCGGAAAAAAAAGAGGGCGCCAGGCCAATCACAGGCCGCAGGTGGCAGTACCAGGTACTAGCTAACTGCCACAGCAACCCCATCCCTATGAGAACAAGAAAAAAAGAAGAAAAAAACAAAACGACCACCAGGGCTGGGACTGGTACTTCATTCTTCCTGGTCGGGAACTGCTCCATTCTCCATTCCTATGGGTATGCACTTTAGAGTGCTCAAACTCCATGTTCTTGCTGCTTGCAACTCTTTTTGACTCCGGCCTTGTGGCGGATTTCTACCACAGCCGAAGAAAAGAATGCTGACTGAATAAGGGGGTCACGCATAACTAACTACCTTACCCCTTCTTACATCGCTGCAAACATGCAAGATCTTCAAGAAGAAAGGTATGCCAAAAAGAAAAGAAAATGGACGCGACGAATGCAACTAAATAATACATGTCCATCGACCGGTTTATAGACGAAAGAGTCCAGCTTCCAGGCGTCAAGGGCTGCCCCATATAAGCGCCCCATTCAGGAATTCAAATTCCAGGCCCGTCCACCTAGTATATCATCTACGGCCTCTTAGGTTTCTGCTCCATGTCCAAGGTTATCTTAAAGACCATACATATCCTACGTCGTTGAATATCGTGCATTGAACCTGTTTGATCCGACAATTCTGTTTCTTGGCCCTTGTAGGGTAACTCTTTATTTGCCACGCACGTACAATCGAATATTGAGCATTCAATCGATAGCATTCATTCCACCATCAATGTTCTGCGAGACGCTGACACTGACACTGGGGATTCGATTGCTATCCCCATCTATATACCTGCGAGAGGGGTGCTCATGTCTCTCAAATTGTTTCTCACATAAGCTCAAAAAGCTTTCACAACTCTGAGCAGCCACCTCTCTTGCTTGCTCTCTTTCGGGAAAAGGACTGATTTAGACAACATATCATCAGGACAATGATATCCCTTGAGTGGCTCCCCAATATATATGATCAGATATCACCGCAGCGTGCTTTTCTGTTTGGCTTTGCATAAAAATTCTTCAAACGTTTGCGGGATCTCCTAGACAGCTTCTCAGCTTTCCCTTCTACAACACCCTATCTATTAGCCTATTTGCCAATACCCGGCACATATCCTTTTCTATATCCTATCTATATTCTGCTAGACGTTTCCCAACTTTTCCCGGGTGTCGGCCCCTTTTCCCCCTTGGAAACAAATTCCTCGATGGCTGTAAATGGAAATAGCGCTCGCCTACGTCCTCCCTTGAGGATCTTCTTCCTCTTCCTTCGATCTATTACCCGTCTCCACTGTCGAACTGTACCACCTCCACTCCCTGGCCTATGTCTAAGCTTATCCCTGAAACTTCCGCCCACGGATAATAGCTATCATCCCCGCATAGTACAGAGCACACACAGTGCAATAGTATAATTTAGGCCCTTCGCGCACAGCCTCATGACAAACGAAAATCGATAGTGGAGGAGAGAGATTGGCCGAATCTAGATTTGGATGGGGAATAGGATAAAGGAGACGAGCTGGCACGCTCCTTGAGGTTGTTTGTTACTCTCTCCATTTACATCCGTGTATTGCATTGGGCTTCGCTCGCGATATCCCCATTACGGAAAATGTCTGGATGAAGGGGAATATATACAGCTAGCATCTCTCGTCATTCATGTGTGTGTGTTGCATATGTATTTTTCGAGTTCGGGTTACTTCATCCAGGTATATATGGGCGTCTGCAAAGCCAATGGGCGTTGAGGCTCATAGTCGTGGCCAAAGGGGGGGGTGAGCGCTTCGTTTATTTATTCCACGACTTGGACGTCAATAATATCCCAGAGCACGCATCTTCTTCACAGCAACCTTTAGTTATTCGATGCAAACATCACCCAGTTATAACATAAACAAAGACGAAAGACGGCTTAGCTTCGATTTCCAGGGGTCGACATTCTTGATTACCAATCCACTGCACCAACCTCCTAGCGTGATGCTGCTGCCCATGGACGAGCGCTGGAAGGATTCAATATCCCGTCTCCCCCATTCAAATTACTAGGGAAGTTGGCTCCACCATTCCTCATCCCTTACTGCGTTCTCCTACCCCTCAGCAATTCAACTTTTCCATCTACGCAGTAGCTCCACCTCGATTTAACCAATACCCTCCGTTCCTCATCAACTATCAACAGCGCATTAACGCCCTCCGTCCGAACTCTAACTCAAGAATCCTAAAATCCACCAACCAAAAAAAACAAACCAAAATGTCCGTCACCAGCGAACCTGGCGTCCTCGGCCCCGTCATCGCCCTCAATATTTGGACCTTCGCCATTGAAGGCTTGATGTTCTCCAGACGACTCCCAGCAATCTCAAAACACAAGATCCCAATGGACTCGAGCTTGCCCAATGACCAAATAGCCGCCAAATACCCGCCCTTCGCCCGTTGGTCCGCGGACAATTTCAACCATCTCATGGAGCAGCCGACGCAGTTCTACGCTGTCGCGCTGGCAATTGCGTTCCTGCACGAGCGCAAGGGCAGCAAGGTGGACGTGGCCCTGGCGTGGGCATATGTCGGGCTCCGGGTCCTGCACAGTCTTGTGCAGGTGTCGAAGAATAAGATCCCGGTGCGGTTTATGGTCTTCGCTACGTCGTCGCTTGCGCTGTTGGGCTTGACGGCTAGTGCCGCCAGATTGGTGTTTTAAATCTCTGAGAGGGGTTAGGGCGAGGGTTTTAATTTTTTTTTTATCTTGATAAGCTTTGGAAGGGAAAACGGAGGTGTGTATATATTGCGCGTGCATGGGCGGGTGGAATCCTCTCCGGCTGCGGGGGGGCTACAAGCAGGTACATGCCATGGGAAAGCTGTTGAGATGCGTGTTGGGCGACGGTGCCCTCATACAATATGTACTACTCTATCATAAATATACAGGATGGACACTGGCAATTAAATCCATGCCGATATCTCTCTGGCTGGTCACTTGATTCTCCTGCCATCATCCATTGAGGTTTGATGTCCAGCAAGGCGATGAAAATTCAAAAGCCTGTTTATTTAACCTTGTTGGATCCCCTGAGGCATCCGCAACCGGTCCGACCGCGGCCGCCGCCTCCACGTGACATTCAGGCGTCTGCCGAATATCGTTAATAATAACAACCACTTTTAATGATTACAACAATCCCTGGATTGTTGACGGTTGAAAACGAAAGTGTCCGAGAAATGGAGACCAACCCATGTAGATTCCTGGGGGCGCTCCACATTCATGCGAATCGCCGGTAAGCAGAAAGAAAATCCATCGATGTTGAGAATTGTTAAAAGCCGTTTTCCCGCCGCCAACAAAATTGCGTCATAACCGAGGAAAGTCTTGCCTAACTTTCGGGTAGTTAAACCCAAGGTCTCTTTACGTCAGAGCTTGTAATGTACTGTACATACTTAGAATTGATAGTAAGGACGAGAATATTGTATATCACTAGACAACAACAAACATCTTGTCTTCTTCGGTACCGTTAGAGTTGGTGAATACACCTAATTTCCTCCCTGATTTCTCATCCAGAACATATCGCTAACCGACCGATTTCAGGACAAAGTTTAAAAGTAGCTCAACGCGACAATTCAATTGCTATATCAAGAAGAGGGACCGAATTTCTGTGTCTCAAAAATCCCTCCAAAAAACGGCCAATTGATCTTGATCATGCAAGCCATCACCATCGATTCCATAGACGGGAAACCCGGCAAACCGGGCCAAGTTTACTACCCGCTCTCCATCAAGAAACTCCCCATCCCAAGACCACAAGGCAACGAGCTCCTCATAAAGCTTACCGCCGCCGCCCTTAACCACCGGGACCTCTTTCTCCGCCAACACCTATACCCAGGTGTATCATTCGACGTTCCCCTCCTCGCGGATGGTGTCGGCATCGTCATCTCCGCCGGCCCAGAGGTGAAGGAACCACAGTCATGGATCCAAAGGCGCGTCGTTCTGAACCCGGGGACCGGCTGGCTGGATTCCGAAGAAGGCCCCGAGGCCCCGGCCGGATACGCTATCATGGGCGGCACCAAATTTAACAGCAAGGGCACACTGCAGGAATATGTCACCATCGACGTGGGCGAAGTGGAAGAGGCGCCTGCGCACTTGACGGATGTGGAGGCGGCGGCATTGCCGCTGACGGGCTTGACGGCGTGGCGGGCGCTGGTGACGAAGGCCGGAGCGAAGAACTCGAGCAAAGGGGCCGCGATCCTGATTACGGGGGTTGGAGGTGGGGTTGCGCTGATGGCGCTGAGGTTTGCTGTCGCGAGGGGTGTGCACGTGGTTGTGACGAGCTCGAGTGACGAGAAGCTGAAGCTGGCTGCGGGGTTGGGGGCGAAGGGGGGCGTGAATTACAAGGAACCTGAGTGGGAGAAAAAGGCGCTGGAATTGCTACCGGCAGGCAAGAGGAATTATGACGCTATTATTGATGGCGCTGGGGGGGATTCGATTGAGAAAGGGGTGAAGCTGCTCAAGGTATGTTTTATACCCGGGGGGACGGGGGGGGGGGGGAAGGGAAAGGAAATATTTGTTTGACTTTTCTTGCTTCCAGCGTCCGCTCTATTGACACACTTTCGCTCACGCACCTCCCGCAGGCTGGCGGTATACTCTCCGTATACGGCATGACAGTATCGCCCAAAATGCCCTTCATTACGCCCGCCTTCCTAAAGAACATCGAAGTCAAAGGCACGACTATGGGCTCTCGAAAGGAATTCAAGGACATGATCAATTTCGTCAACGAACAGAAGATAAAGCCCATTATTTCCCGCGTTGTGCAGGGAATCGATAATGTCAAGGAGATTGACGGATTATTCGATGACATGAAGAAAGGCACCCAGTTTGGCAAGTTGGTTATTGAGCTTGTGAACAGCGGCGATAGTAAGTTGTGATTAAGATAATTGTTATAAAGAATTATTCTAGAGGGGTATATCCGTTGATAAATGATTAGTTAAACCCCTTTAATGGTTGGATATGATAGATGGGAGCTCACAAACTTCCTTTCCAAGATCTCAAGTACATAGTAAACGTGGAGTATATTTTGCTAATTAAAATTATACCTAGTGTAATGTATGAATTTTACGTCTTGCGATTTCGCGATATCAGGATCTCCCGGACAGAGGGAATTAGAATGGAGGAGCAATTCAGAAACCTCATTATTGAATTAAGCGTATCTCCTGTTTTCTGTGAATAGTAGATTTGCCAGGAGAGATTCTCTGTTTCCTCCTAAGCGGCTGCATGGCACTTTTCCTAGAGTTGGTAAAAAGAAAGAAAGAAAGAAAGAAAGAAATACCACCATGGCTAAACGAAACATCCAATCACTCTTCATTGAATCCAACATCAATATTTGTCCATTTCTATCCCTTTCCAGCCTCGGCAAAACAGAACTCAAGCCGGCACGGGCGTGGTAAGAAAAGCGAATATATCAACATTGTATGTAACTGTGCATTGCCGGATGAAACATCGTCCCCATCAACATAGTTCATTCGTTACAGGGGCCCGGGAATTCATATCCAAGCATGCATAACTCCATTTCACGAATCTGGGCAACTATCCCTAGGTAACTTCATGCCACAGCAGATGAGAACGTATCTCGATTGATGTATGTAGAGGGCACGTTTCTTTCAAGGACGCCTCGCCTGGATAGCTGGACAGAAATTTATTAAAAAGAGAAATAGCAGCAGAGGTGATTAAAAGAAAAGAAAGGGAAAAGGAAAATTGGACAACAAAAATAATAGAATTTCTTGTGCTATTGGGAAACTTAAGACCTGTAGGCGGGCGAGCCCGCTTGATGTAGAGCAGGTAACGTTGATGAGTTTTGCGCACTTTGCGCTGTAGAAGTGCCGTTGTAAATCCTACCGATGGAAGAAGGGAAGGAAATGTGATTCAGAATTAGTTTTAGGTAAAATATCATATAAATTGGTATCGCCCGTTTGAGAAGAGGGAGAACTGCATGACCTTTAGGGACCCGTCTTGCAACAAAAAAGGGGGTTATAAGGAGAACGAGTGGTTCGCATACTCTGAGCAGCTACGTGAGATCATCGATTGATCGCGCTATCCACAAGAAAATGGATGGATAGATGGATGGGTTGTATTTGCGCATCATTGATTCATTGAGATACAAAAAAGATGATGAGAGTCATAGATTTTGAAATAGGAAAATGTTCAAACCCCTATCTAAGTTCACTTGTTCTCTGGATGGTGTGGGCAAGTATTTCGATATCAAGGCAGGAATGGAGGATTGGCAATGATTCAAAATGCAGGGCACCAGGACAAGCAACAACCAAGCAAGTCGGCATGCTGCATTGTTGCTGTGACGTCTGCATAGATCCAATTAGCCTTGTTGGAATGGCCTTCTAGAAAGCATTCGAGTTGTCCAAGTAGGTATGTGCGTTACAGGCGATGAAAACCAAGGCACAACCAACAACTCGGGAGGATGGATTTGAGGCGGGAAAAGTCCAGGCATGGCTCTGAGTCATTACGACCAGAAGAGACGACGGGTCATAGATACAGATATCGTCTCTGAGCCTGTGAAAGCCACCATGATGTCAACGTTTGTTCGTCCCGCACCGGATCGTTAGCTACAGTAGATCTTTCAAATTCGAGAATTTTCATGGCTGACTGATTGCATGTTCTCGGGTTGGCGGATACATACAATCTTGGATGAATGTTTCCATTCTCTCCTTGCAGCCTGAAAACTGGGGACCCCCTCGATACCTGTTGTATAAATGTTAGAAATTTAATCCATTTCAGGTTATTGATAGCAAATGGTACGCAGCATGAAGACCTCGCAAAGTCCAAGGAAACGGCAGTATGGCCAAAATGAAAAGAGGAAGCACTCACTGTCCTTGCTTCATATCGAGGTCGCTTGATTGAACATTTCTTGCATATGCCTCTACTATCCCTTCATGACGCCAATGATCAAACATTTAAAAAAAAAAAAAAAAAAAAAAAAAATCCATCCTTCACTATGGGAACAGCTCGCTTTCTTGCTTCTGCCACGTCACAAACACACGCCAATAGCCATCTCAACTCCGCCGTTAACAGCTCCCTCGCATCAGGCAAATCCATTTTGTCGTCGCCGATTGGAAGTCTGGTGCTTATGCGCCCTTCTTCCCAATGCATACAGGCAGCTGCATCACTCATGCCAGCGGGCTGGGATCCTGTGCTATGAATAGAAACATGCGCAGACGCCAATTTATCGGCTCCATTTGCCTGTTCTCAGGTTCTCACTTCTCACCAAACTACAACGTAGTAGCCTTTTTGTTGACAACCCCTTCTCCCGTTCGAGCGATAGTACCGATGATCCCAAACATGGTGGTATTATTCTGACACAACAATAAGAGATTTAGCTATGTTGTTTCGATTTCTTATATGGGTCCCTAGTCCTTCAGTGTCCGTTGTTACTACCGCTTTTGTTTATTTTGTCAGTATCAGTCATCTCGAATCCGCTCAAAGGGGAAAATGGGATACGAGATGTGTCGTGTGCAGAGTTTGTCCTCAAGGTCACAGTTTCGGTCCAAACACTGATTGGCTTATAATACTTTCTCTTCTATTTCTGTTCCCTCAGCAGCTTTTGCTGAAAATGGCCCGCCAATGAGCCCTGGGAACTCTTGGTTCTCTCAAACAACGCTGCGATTCAGCGAACCATAGTGAGACATCGACATGGAACCTGGGCTGCGACGCGAGCTCCGCAGCCAGGGGACCCGCGCATTCTTTTTGCAATGGTTTCGATCTGAAGCCCCTTTGTCTCACCCCGATTTTATCAGCTGTGGCCGTGGTTGTGTTCAACAGGCACGGTAATATCGGGCATTTAGGCTGAGAAGCAAGGTCTCATCAAACGTTTCGATACCCGAAACGTGATTCGACACCGTTTCTCTTCTTCCCTATCTCTGTCAGCAAATGCGCTAGCTAGCACCGATTTCGTTTTTGGATCTCAGGTTGAAAGTCAGCCTGCCATTTCGGAAAGCTTTGGGTGCATGCTTGCTCGCTGTGTCTTGAGTCATTCTGCGCCGTCAACAAGACGGCGGATGCCGCAAATTGAGCCCATGGAGAGTATCAATGTGGAGATCCCGCGCGGTTTTCTAACTGCGTACACGCTTCGTGTTCGATGCCTAAACTTCCCCCTGAAGGGAAATATTCTCCGCTTGAATGCTAGGATCCCTGAACTGAGCAAGAGTGAAGGAAGGGATTGAGGGGCGGTGAAAGCTGCTTTCTCGTGGGCAAAGCTGAAATAACCCTATTCGGACCGGCGCGGAGATGCAAATCGCTGCCATTTGATGGATATTTCCCGACTTCTTTCTGATAGATAGTGTCTACGAGGAGGACCTCTTTGAAGCTCTGGAGAGCCAATTCTACTGCTTCAATGCTTAAATTTCAGTTTCTACTAGTCTTTATATCAATTAGAAAGAGAACATACCGGCTGAACCCAACCCTACCCTCTTAAGAGACAGCTGGTGGTAGTTAATAGTTACTACTATCATGCTCGGTAATCATCAAGTTTGCTTGACCACGACCCAAGCTACTCTAGGATGAGCTCTCCATACTGTGAACATCTATCTGTACTGTACATGCAGTTGAGCTTAGGGGTTCTAACTATCCCTGAGCTGCCTGTGCATGAGCCACGATTTGTCTCAGGAGCTCGTTGGGCGATTAAGTCTCCGCAAAATACACGGGCTTCATCGACACGTGTTCCGCCGTCGATAGAACCCCTACGTATAGTCTACGGAGTACCTCTGTACTCAATTGTTCTTTTCAGTCAGGGGAAGTTTGTAAGATGCGACTTCGCTGCTGGAATACCTTGTGCAAAAAAGCCCCCCATTCGGCGAATGACAAATATAAGACAACGCGGCGGGGTCCCGGGGATGATCGCCAGTGTCAACATCGGTTGGGATACGGAGAACTCCGTAGTTAACATCTCTTGTCTTCTAAATATAACTCATGGCTTGTGTCGATCTCAGCATAGTACGGAGGACGTTGCGCTGTGCTCAACGGCCGCCGTTCTTCCCCTTTGCCGCAATCTACTAACTGGTAAAAACAAACCTGGCCTTCTCTGATTACCGATTCCATATTCCATTCTCTCTTTCTCTCTTGTCTTCTCCAACACATCAGGCTTCAAACCCCCAAACCACTAGCTCCAAGTGGCGCTGTTGAGGGAGCTTGACTTCTTCAGTCATTTTCAACTCGACACCTAACTATGGATCTCGGGATAACTAGTAACTACACACCGCGTACGCAGTATGGAACTCAACATGGGCATGGCATCAGCTCATGGAAAAAAAAAAAAAACCCTGGCTACCTGAAACTGCCCATTGAATCCTGAAAACACCTTCCCCTCCC